CTTTTCACTGGATTTTTATGTATAACTTTTTTCTTCAACATAAAGTTGATACTTTATATAAACTTTTTATTTTATTAATATATTAAATGATAGACCGCAACAACAGAACAAGATTCATGTAAGTGCCCTCAAATAGTTGGAATAAAGCTTGATTAAGGATAATGATGAATACATTACAATAACATGCACTATTATACATCTTAATAAGTTTATTTGTATACTCGTTAGGAGTTATTTACAAATTGTCCCCCTTTGTCCTTATTTAAAATTTAGAGGCACTTTGAGGTACATGACATGTTTTATTTGCAATTCAAAATTTTAGCTTAGCATTAGAACTTGGGTGAGGTTTTGGTGGCATTTTATGTGCGTCATCATCCAAAATTCATGTCGATGTGGATTTTGGATCCAAAATTTCAAGGGTAGATAATCTCGCTTTTATAACATTTTATCGTAGGTATCACGACCATGTTAATTCTGAAAAAACGGCAGTTTCTTTTTAACCATTCATTTTACTTCATGGATCACTAGATCTGCGCAATTTTTTGAGTTCTATGATTAAACATAGTTTAATATTTTTTCTACTTAAGATTTCTTCTACAATATAAATCCCTGAAAAACCTAGGTGGAAGTCTGACACTCACTGCAGGCTTTATCTTAAAACGTATCACAATAAAATCAAAATAAATTCAATTTAATGAAGATAAATAGAAAGGCGCAAATTAAATATAGGGAAAAGTTTATCTAGAGTCGAGGCTCTGAACAAACAAATTTGAACTTATCTCAAAAAAATTTTCTAGAAGAGGTTGTTTTGATGCTCAAATATCCTCAAATTGATCATCTCAACATCAAGATGCATTGACATGAAAAAAACATAGATTTCGAGTTTTGAAAATAATACATTTTCGGACCGTCAATTTTCAAGTTTTCATATATCTATCAATCTACACTATTTTTGAAGCTTTAAACTTTATAAATAAAGATAAAAATATATTTTAAGGCTATGACAAAGATTTCCAGTATTTAAACCATTTTTCTCAGCACTACTTGAAGGTAGCCTCTGATTTGATTGTTTAGATCCTTGGCTCTATCCAAACCACACCCTTAAACATATGCATGCATGGAGAATCGGATTGGAGCATCAATGATCTGGGAGGTGGATGCCTCAACATGACATAACGTCTCATCATTGTTAACATATCAAAAAATAAATAAATAAATATATGCATGCCCACTCAAGCTTACTCCTTTATGTGTGGGGCTAGGGCCAAAATGACCTTTGTATCCTCCACAAATGATTTCTAGAAACCCCACTATCCCATGAAGGATATAAGCAATTGGGTGAGGAACAAGGTGCAAAGTGGTCATTTTTTTTTTGACATTCAAAAAATGGTTTTTTTTTTTTTCAAGTAAATTGGTTTAAGCATTACTCCAATGAGTTGCACCAGTACTCCTAGTAATTTTCCAACCTATACTTATTATGTAGCCATTGAATATTTAACCTGGCCTTTTGACCAATGAAATGCTGAAATGCACCACCATCAATTGTTGTTCTCACAAAACTCTTATGAGAGACATAGAGAGAGAAGAGAAAGAGAGAGAATCTACCGTTGTTCTCACAAAATTCTCATGAGAGAGACTATATATAGTTGTTCTCACAAAACTCTCATGAGAAAGAGAGACCAGGGTTATTTTAGAGAGAGAAAGAGATAGAGAAAAAGATATCTGCTTTTTTGTCCAATGAAATACCCCAGAAAGGTTGAGAGAGAGAGAGAAAGAGAAAGAGGTGATGAGGAATAGAGCCTCTCATATTAGGGCTTGTTTGGAGCAGTGTTTCAAAAATTGAAATTGGGCTTCGGGCTAGTATGACATGGATGTATCCGAGTTTGATTCGAATTTGTCCATAGTTGGGTAGGCTATACATAACAGAAAAATGAAATATACTGAAAATCAAGAGACTCAAAGTATAACCAGCCTCCTGATTTGATCGAGCTGCGGCGAGTCCCCATTCTGATTAGTGATTTTTTAAACACTGGCCCAGAGTAAAATGGGTTAAATGAGAGCTCATTTGAACTACTGGTCAAGATCTGCAATTGGCATGTTTAAATTAAAACTAATATGACCCCACCATGTTCCTTTGCAAAAGATGTGAGCAAATCTCTACATTTTTCCTTTTGTAGGAACTAATGAAAAAAACGAAAGAGAAAACCAAAGTCCTCCTTGCAAGGAATGTCACATCTCTAACCAACTTAGTGGTTTCCGATGATGTTATACTTTTGTAATTTTCCTGTAACTCTTTTAGCCTTTTAATAAGATCTTTGAACTTCTAAAAAAAAAAAAGAAAACCAAAGTCCTCCTTGCTAAGTGGCTTTGGGTTTAATACCTGCCTAAAATGACTTAGGGTTTAGTGTTTGACTAAAAGCACAAAGTAATTAATCTATAGTCAATATGAACAAGGTACAATCTCCCAACTTCCATAAAATTTTCTAAGTAGGTTTAATTATGGTTTATCATTTACATAATTAGGGTCGTCAACTGGCCAGGCGGACCTGAGCGCCTCCGGACTAGGACGGCTTTGGACCACACTTTAAGGCTTGCGAATTGGGCTCCAGCCAAGCATGCTAGGCTCAAAAAAAAATTGGGTATGACCCTAGCTAAGTGATGCTTGGGCCAATATGTATGTGTTTTTGTGTGTGTGTGTGTGGGGCAAGGGAGCATCAAGTCACGATCAACATTGGTCGTTGGGTGTGAAATCTAGAGGCTAGGAGATCTCCACGGGGTTCTAAATTTAAAAGAAAACTTTTTTGAGCTTCTTGATGTACCCTAGGCTATCGGATTTCTACATAGTCAATATAGTTTAGCAGCTTTGGCAATGGGAAATAGGCAGATCAGTTAAAAAACAAAGAAAAGCCTTGTACTAGAAAGCGGACTAAATCATTATGGGACTCCATATGATGGCATGTTTTTTATTCAAGGGGGTTGCAATCACCCGTAACCGTCTTATGTGAAATTTAGCAGCTGGAGTGCATCAGAAAGTGCAAGGAAAATTTTCTTAGACTCTGATCGCAATCAATCGAACACTCTTAGCTATTTGATTTCATGTCTGATGGTGTGGGGGTGATTGTGAACTTCTCGTACTAAAAAGTAAAAAGTTTTATATACTTTCTTAATTAATATTAAATTAATTATGCTAAGATGACCCTCTGGACTTTTACTTTCCATTCAAAACAAGAGAATCCATTTTGCCATGGATAAAATGGAATAGTAATTCATTAGCCGCTGCTCTATAAAACCACACCTCAAATCTTGCTAGAATGTTGTTTTTGGACTAAAAAAACTTGCAAATGGACTATCTCAACCTCAACCATCATGAACTTGAAAAAATGAATTTCTACGGTTGAAAGTGATCTACCTTGTAAGGCATTTCTTCAAACATCCATATACCCTGTGTTTTACTTTCAACAACAAAAAATGATCTATCTTATAAGACAATTATTGAACAGTCCATCTCAAGTGTTCACAGGTTTGCTACTTCTAAAGTGGTTTTGGAGTTCCAAATTCCTTAGTTTGGGGGGAGTAGAATTGCAAGCCATTACAAGGGTTGGAAATGGGGCAGTCGCTTGGCCTGGCCTGGTCAACCCGTCCCTAAAAAACTAGGGCTTGGGCCACGAAATGTAGCTTGAGGGCTGGGCCAGGGCTAAACAAACACAGCCTAAGGATTGGGCCAAGGCCGGCTAAACCCGACCTTCTTTTTCTTTGTTTTTTTTTCTTTTATTTTTTTCCGATTCTATTGGGCCCCGCCTGAGCCAGTCTGACCCTAATAGGGCCACGACCGAGCTTGGGCCAAGAAATTTTTGGTCATGTTAGGGCTGGGCTGGGCTTGGGCGAGCCCTGTGGGGACTCAGGCCGCCACTTGCCACCCCTAGCCACCATAAGGGTTCTAAGCATGGTAATTACATTTTCTGATAGGGTTTTCAATGCAAGTTTGCCAATCATCGAGCCGACGCCCAACAGAAACCCCACCCATTATAAGCTTATGAAAACCTTTAATATAAGTTAATCTATGCATTAGATCTAAACTATAAGTTAGGGTGCAACACTAAGTCTTCAAAATGATATAAACTGGGAACAAAGAACCTTAAAATTCTTAACCATATTTACAACCTTCTTTAATGAAAACAAATATTCACCTAATAACCAAACATGAAATCTCATAACAAGGTCTAACAAATTTTGAAAAATAGGGATAATGTAGCAAAAAGTGACTCTCAAAAGCACAATAGAGTCCAAACTATCTTATAATATCTTTCTAAAAATATTCCCACTCAAAGAATCTTAAAAAGTGTTTCTAGGATTAGGGTTTCTATCGAAAGTGATGCACTAACCCAGCCAAAGAACTAGGGTTTTGAGTGGCTTAGATTTTAAAAAAAATGAAAAAAAAGGCAAAAAAAGGTACCTAGGAAGCAAAAGTTAAGCATAAAGGAAGTAGCCCAAAATTAAGGTTTCCATCCCAAAGTGCAACACTAAATAAGGGTTTGAGTGGGCCCAGCAACAAAAATTAGGGTTTTGGGCCTTGAGTGGCCCCACCTTAAAAATTAGGGTTTTGTAAAGAGTGAGTTGGACATAAGTAAAGGGCCAAAGAAAGGAATACTGAAAGAGAAGACAAGTGGCCCAAAATTAGGGTTTTCTCCATAGCTCAAGATAGCGAAATCCGGAACCTGATCCGGCTACTCCTGGTTTTATTAATCCCAGCCAAATAAATGAAAAAAAAGGCCAAAACTCATATTTTTCGCACTAATTGTTTTTTTGGTGGAATAATCAATTAAAATGGGTGGAATATAGAAAAAATGGTGCCCTGATCAGGCATTAATTAAAAAAGGACCTGCACAGAAATCATGTGACACGTTGCTTAAATTGATTCGTCTACGGATCTTTTTTTTTCTTTTTTTTCTTGTCTTTGCCGGGAAAGAAAACCATCCCAAAAAAAGCAAAAAAAGAATTTCAACTCTGTCTCTCTCTCTCTCTCTCTCTCTCTCTCTCTCTCCTCTTTCAAAACCCTAGAAAAACTAGGGTTTCGTTCAGCTCCATTTTTACGCTCGAGAATTCAGGCCATGTCCCGTCCTCTTCTCTCCTCAAACTCCCACTGTTCGATTCACCGTGAAATTAGCTTCCCATTGGTTGTGGACCTTCACGTCTTTCTTCGGGCGACTTTTCTGGCCGGAAATGAGGAGTTCCGGCGAAATTTGGATAGGATGCGAGAGGTTTGAATTTGGTGATTCAGGTGAGCGTTTTGGCATGATTTTTGTGGAATTTTTGGGTTAAATTTGTTCAATGAGTTGGCTTTATGATTCAGAAATGGAGCTTGATGGAATTCACCTGAAAATAGGCTGGCTTTTTATGTCAGTGAAGCTAGGGTTTGTTAGGACAGAGGCTTTACGGTCGAATTTCTTTGTACTTTTGCTCCTTCCACTGCGCTTTATTCTTTGCTTGTATGGTGCTTAGTCGATATTTTATGTGTGTTTTCGAAAATTAAGATTTGTGTTTGCATCTACATATAAGTAGTACGCGTTTGAATATTTAATGACTGTAAGATTTTGAGTTTTTTCCAGAGTAAACTAGGTTCATATTATTTGTGAGACTGTTGAATATTTGATGGATATGGTAATTTTGCTTTGTTTTATGGATGTTTGGGCTCAAAATTCATCTTCTATTTGTTCATGAAATGTTTGAATATTTGATTGCTATAGAAATAAAGCTTATTTTGATATCTTTTCTTGGAATTTTAATAGTTGGGTGCTATTTCTTATTATAGTTGGTTTATATTCTACCTTTTATAATTTTTGTTGTTAGGGTTTCAGTGAAACCCAGTTGCAGAATTGGTCACAACAGTCACTGATTTGTTACGACTTCATACTTCGGTGCCATAGCGAACACGCAATTTTCGGTTTTCCTGTAAACTGCTTTGGTAGATTAGTTAACTTTATGTTTTAGAGAACATATACTTTCAATATTTATTTATGGTTTTTGCGTGGTACATGCAAATATGGTTTACATTTTACAAATAGATTTATGATAATCTGTGCTTTATCATCTTTTTCAATCCTTAGATTTCTATGATGTAATCATACCAGGTCACTGCAAAATCACAAGGAAATGCTTGATGTTTGTTGTATTCTCCACTGACTTCTTATCCAGGGTTTACTATGTGTAGTAATCCTCACAAAGAAAGTCTGATTTATCCTATGATTTTATGGTATCGATTGAATATGAGGCATGTTATGTCTGAGTTGTAAGAAGATGGGCTGGGTTGACAAGTCATGCTATCTAACACTGACATGGTTTAGCAAATTTATTCTACAGTTTGCTATCAATGCTTGCACTATTGATCTGACAAGATGGGCGAGATTGGAACTTCAAATTTTAATCACTGTTGTGAAGGAAGCAAGCTTACTATTGCTGATAAAAGGTCTACTGATAGTGCAACAGTGGATCCCAAATGTGGGCATTTCTCTATCCGGTATGTCCTTTTTTTTTTTTTCTTCTTTTGTTTTCTTATTAGAGATTCCCTCTGCAAATGTATAAGGATTAGTTATTCTACTGAGTCTTTGAAGTTTGAAATCAGTTGAAGAATATGGTTACTTTGATAAGTTCATGTGAGACTTTAATCACCAGTCACTGATGAATGTGTATCAGCCCCAAAGTTTCTTCATGGTTTCACTCTGTGATCTATTTTGTTCATGGAAGATAGTGTCTCTTAAAACTGTTCTTCTCTTTTTTATTTTGTCTATCAATGACTAAATATTTTCTGCAAAAAATTATTTCTTGTGTAAGCCTATAGGAAGATTAAGTATGATTTTTGAAACTCAGGATAATGAGGAAGGGGTTTATTCTGATCAACATTTCTCCATGTCTTGTATAGTGGATATGTCGCAGAGATTCGTAAACTGGATAGGAAGGTTAGTTGGCCATTTTGTGTACCCCAGAACCATGAAGAGTCTGAAGATTGTTTGCATTCGCTACCTCCCATGCGTGTTCCTCAATTTAAATGGTGGGGTTGTGGAAACTGTCTGCTTAAGGTCAACAGTGTCACAACTGTTACTGAAGGGGGTCAGATTCGAAACAGTGGCACTGATAATGGGAAGACCATCAGTGCAATGGTTGAACCAGCTATTCCTAGTCCTCATCTGGTTTATGGGCTTGCTCATAATTCTAAAGAGAGCTTTCTTGAAGGAAGACGAGTTAAAGAGGTTGCTAATGCCCCAGTGGATGGCTCTGCAAATCAACCTGCACTATGTAAACCCAATTTCAGCAAGGAAATGAAACAAGTCACAGTTGAACTTCAATCTGGCGAAGGCATCTCCAGGGATGGGACCTCACCATCTGAAACTTTTGTTAATAATGCATCTCTTCATTCTTCAACTGATATCTGCTTCTCTAATGGGGATTTTGGCTCTATAAATGAGAAAAGTGATGTGTTAGTGAGTGTAATATCTAATAACAATAATAAAGGGGCACTTTGCAAGAGAATTGGAGAATTTTCTGTAAAAAAATATAGGAATATGGTGGGGTTGGATATAAACAAGCCCGACTCTCATTTACCACCCTTTGGTAATTCAACTGCTTCCCAACATTCTTTAGATAAGAATAATGTCTCAGAAGTTGTAGCTGCTGAACCTATACGAAATTGCCCAAGCAAACATTCTGTGCAAGAATCGAGAAGTAATGAAGCCGAGCATGAGATTGTTTTGGGTAGAGGAATCCTTGCAGAAGTCAGTATGATCAGCACTTTTTCTGGAGACAAAGATTGTTTAAATCTCAGAAAAATAAATCCAGTCAAGCAAAAGGATGAAGATTCTGCAAACACAACAAAGGATTCTGGGGAAACCCCATTGAAAGTTTGCTGGAAAACTCCACTACTTCAACATGAGGGTTCGGTTGAAGGAATAATGATCTGTGGGAGAACTGAGAAAGTAGCCTGTAATGATTCTTTTGAAGAAATAAAAGAAACCCTGGACACCCAGGAAATGAGCTCCAATAAAGGAAATGATCCTGCATTTGCTTCTAATTCATATCCAATGAATGAGATGTTATCTGTGGGTGCAGATTCAACCGAGGAAAATATCTTCAAGAAAGGAAAATATTCAGGTGATTCTCTAAATCATGGCGATGATAGTGCAGGTCAGACCTTCATTGATGAAGAAAATTGTGATAGCCCATGCAGAATTGATGAGCATTATGCGAATGGATCTCTATGTAAGAGGAAAGCACCAAAGATGCGTTTGATTTCTGAAATTATGAAGTGTGACGCAATTAGTGCAGGAGCAAAAGGCTTGGATGCTGCAACTCTTGAATCTGAAGTGGAATTAAATTTGATGGATGGGTCAGATTTGGATCCTAAGGTCACTAGTACAGATAACAAGAAAAGCAATGGGACCAAGAAAAGGATTAGGACACGTCTTCTTGAAATTTACAGCTCTTCCTCACTGCAATTCGTAGAGGTATGGAATTTCTTTTATTCAGTAAACACTTTAAATTTATGGGGTTACTTCTCAACATTCACTTGAGATTAATGGCATGCTGTTTCTAAGATGTTGTTTGTATGGTTCTCCTTCTTAACATTCACTCTAGATGCATGCATTGTTGAAATACTGAGGGAGAAATTTTCAAAAATGAAAGCTTATGGTGACAAAACAGAATATGAGCCATATAAAATGTTGTAATGAATGGATTCATATGCTTGATAGCAAGAAACCTTTTTTATAATGAACAGAAATGCTTTTTTCTTCCTTTCTTATAATGAACAAAAATACTTTGAAATTAGAATATTTATACCATAATGTCGAAAAGAAGTGATGGTTGGCGTATCTTAAAACATTGTACTTATAAGAAGCTTCTAAATCCATGGCACTTGACTAGCCATCACAGTACACATGCCTAGATGAGCTTGGTTAAACCCATCCCTTCTACCAATTGAACTTAGAATATTTGTTACCAATTGAACTTAGAATATTTGTTACCAATTGAACTTAGAATATTTGTCACTATGTTATGTGGAGTATAGAAGTCATCAGAGGTCCATTTCTCCACATGGACGTCGTTATGACTTCTGTATTCAATGTTAAGAAATTGTTTCTATTAAAATACTTATTTTTAAGTTTGTCAGTCTCCACTTTTTCTAGTTTCAAGTTTTTCTAATTAATGTTAGGAAGGCCTCAGCCTCAGATATAGCAGAAGCCGTCAGCCAGATAATGTAAAATATATTGCTGCCTTGTTATGACCTCCCTATTGAATTTGCATTATTCCTCTATATTTGAGATTTTTTCTATTGTTTTCTCTAAAACAGCTCAGAACAAAGAGACATTTTGAGATTGTTATTCCTCTTAAGTGAGAACTTGACATGTCTCATGTCATTTCTTCACGTGGCAATATTTATGTCAGGGATGCCCAAGTTCAGGTGTTTGACATCCCTGTTCTATCTTAGAGATAACTAGTGTTTGCATCCGTTTTTATTAGGGTCAGTAGAGCAGAGTCCACTGGATTATGTTATATAGTACCCGAAGGCTGCCCCTCAAAGGACTTTCAGATGACAGAAAACTAACTGAAGTGGAGGCCAGAGGAGCATTTACCCAAATACAGTTAATCACATCTCTCTGTCAGTGGGAATAAATGGTGGATAAAGCTTGGAGTACCATATACCATAGTCCAAGTTTCTCCTGCTTTCTCCAGCTTAAAACACCATGAGCATGTCAGGAATCCTAGTCATTTCATTTGCATCTAAGGTTATTTATACACAATTAAAAGCAAGGGCTAAGGAGACCCAAGTTTAAATGCACAGGTTCTGAAAATGGATTCCAATACATTATTGATGATTCTAAGGTCACTTGAAACTGAACCAGACTGGTGGCATTTTAATTATCCTGCCCATTCTATTTGTTGTTATGACTGGACAGATACCATATTGCAACAAACTATGGTTATATGTCCTCCAGGGCTATATCCGCCATCCATAGACACTGATGGTTGGTTAGGACTAACTCTTGTGGATGTCATTGTAGGACCCACTACAGTCGACCATCAGTCTGACGTAATGGATGGGATGTAGCCGGGCTGAATTGTGCAACTCTAAGAAGCTTTCCGAACTAATTTGGAAATCTTCTCCTTTGATAAATTACTGTGAACAATCTTTTCTTCCTTGTTAATCATTTTCCATTAGGTGAATATCACCTCATTGGCACTTAAATTAGTTTTGTGAGTTCATGTACTAATTAGAAGGGTGTGACTGTGTGCTATTTTCCTCATCCTCATAAAATGCTTCTATAAAAATAATCTTTGAATGGGTAGAAGATGAATACAAATGAATTGACAGCAACATGAATTTCATCTCAGGAACCCCAAAACATGGCTGGTAAAAAGAGTTCTTCCATGAAGGGCGAGAAAAAGTCTAAAAAAAGGAAGCATGCACAAACAATTTCAGATGATATACCAATGGACATTGTCGAACTTATGGCAAGAAACCAACATGAAAGAGGCCTTCTTAATAGTGAAGGAGGTGGTGAGAGACAGAATCAGGCAAAACCAAATAGTGGAGAGAGGAAGGGTCCCAGCATAGCAGACCTTACCGAAGCCCTTAAAAACGATTTCACGGGTTTGTTACAGGAAGAGAACTCTTCGAAGCTTAAAAAGAAATCCATCAATGGCAAAAGTGGAAATCACAGTTCCACGAAAAAGGCAAAGAAAGGCCACAAAGATCCTGGTGCCTGCACTCTTTACAGTGAAAATAATAGCAGCCATTGCTTTTTGAACATTAACCCATCTCTCCATTTCTCCCCATCTACCTGTACTACTTCAATAATGTGCTGTGGAGATGAGCCCAGTAAAGAAATTCAGTTTCCTTTTACTGAATACACAGTGGAAAGCCAATGGACTCAATACAGCCAAGCTTCTTATGGGACCCCAATCTTTTCAAACAGTGTGACTACCGGGGTACAGACCGGTCAAAATGATGGTGCTGAGCCTTTAAGTAACACAAAAAATGGCACAAGTACATCTGAGAAACCTAAAATGAAGTTAAAGAAGATTTCCCGTCAAAACTCAGGAGTAAAGTCCATTAAACAAAGTAATCATTCTTGCCTTCACAAATGCAAAGAAATGGATGCCCTGAGAACTCAGAAGAGAGAGAAATACATTGATGATCCAAAGAAACTCAGCCCAAGAGACCTATACTTGAATGATTCTATCCCTGCGATGCATTTGCTCAGACTCATGGACCAGGGAATGTGCTCTAACATGCAAGAAGACAGGGCAGCCATGGATGGAAACCAAGGAAGCTTCTGCAACTTGCTTCAGTTATCTGAGAAGGGTCACAGGAGAGTCGAACCAGTACTTGGACCAGATGGTAGTTTGAGTAAGTACAATATATGTCCCATGGATTTCCATTGCTTGAACCAAAATTTACCTCTGGTTCCTGTGATCAGAGAGAATGGTTCCCCTAGTGGAGGGAATAGTAGAAGCAACAATCCTTTTAATTGGAGAGGCACCGATGGTTATAGAGATGGGATTTCCTTTGGGAACCTTGAAGAGAGATCAAAACCAACCATTCCTACTTCTCTCTACCTCGAATCACAACGAAAGGAGCAAGCCAGAAACACTGCAATGAACTGTTTGGCATTGCTTTCCATGAAAAACCCCAGTCATAAAGTAAAATCCTGTCTCAAAAATGGGTTCTCAGAAAAGAATCAGAAATCCCTTCCAGTCAATTATGGAGGGAAAAAAATCCAAACTTCTTCGGCTATGGGAACACCTGTAAATTATGAGCCGAAGACTCCAGCAGCATCCATTCATACACTCTTTGAGGTTAACAATAAAGCTAAAGAAAGGACAATTGATGCTGCGAAAAGCACTTGTAAAACTATTATATGTTCTGTTAACAGAAACCCAGCTGAAATTAACTCCAAAGAAGCCGAGAAATACATGGGTTATATCGAAGATTTTAGGTTCAGCAATCTCTCTCTCCCTAATGGAAGATTGAAGAGCACTTTGAGTCCTGAAGGAAGAAAGAGAAAGCGAACAGTGAAGCTTGCTGCGATATAAGGATGTTTGTAAACTTGGATTCCTTTCTTTGTGTGTTAGTGCAATACATTATCAGTAAATTATTCAAAAAAAGAGAAAAGAAGGTAAAAAAAATAGGTGGTTTTCTCAGTGTGTCTATATCTATGTAAGGGTTTTCAATCAATGCCATAAAAGATGGTTGTTTGTATTCACGCTTTCTTGGAAAAGGTGGAGTGGTGCTTCATTCATGTTCGAGTCGCAAGTTGGTTGCTTTTTCTTTCAGAAGTAATAATTTTTTTGACCAGAAAACCCTTTGTACTCAGTGTGTGGGAACAAGTTCCAGCCAACCAATAAGCATTTTCTAGTGAAAGAATGAAACTTACCGGCTCGGTTTTGGCTTCTTTCTGGACAAATGTTTCTTAGCTGTTCATTCTTTGTAGCCTTTATCGAAATGGAAAGTATAATCATTTTGATCAAGGGATGGTGTAGCATCTGCATAATGCAGATGCTTGAAAGGTGCACAAGGTGACACCCTTCAGTGGTTCAGATTGAATCTGGACCTATCAGAGGGCCACTAATTGACCTTGTTTTTTATTTTTTAATTTTTATAAATTTTATTCAGATGAAAGTTGAGGCATCTATGCATCTTACAATGGCGCACCCAATGGAAAAATAATTCAAAAAATAACTAAAATACCCATAGATGTTTCAAGGGGATTTTGGTTATTTTTTATTGAATGCGCCTTATAAATATGCATGGATGCTCGAATTTTTATGTGAATAAATTTTTAAAAATAAAAATAAAAATAAAATCAATTTGTAGCCCTCATATTAGTACATATTTAATCTAAATTGTTGAATGGTGCTTGTGCACCCTTAAAGCACTATAATGATGTGGACGCTACACTTTTCCTTTGATCCATATGATCATGTTAACATTAGGGTTGTCAATGGTGAGTATGTAATATGATTTGCTTATAGACATGCTTGGCAGGAATGGGGTCAAGGTTAGGTGGTCAGAGTGGGAGGTATCATAAGGTAACATCTCGAGTTCCATTTCTATCACCAATAAGGGATCTTTTTCTTGTTTAACTACCAAAAAAAAAAAAGAGAAAAAAAGAAAAACAAGACATTCTTGGTGAGACAACAATGTGCAGCCCCATCTCAACCATCCATCAAGTATCGTAAAAACCTCCAAACTGGGGTCCAAGCATTCTTGGTTGTGCCTAAAAAAGTACGTTGTTTTTGGCTATTGTGGTCTAGTTCCTTATTTTTAATATTTTTTGCAATTTTTGAAAATAAGCTTTTGTCCAAATTTAATCAGAGCTAGGGAACATATCTTCCATTCAATCCTTCCGCTATATATATGGAAAACTTTATATAATCTTCCAACCTTATACCGTAGAAAAAATGCGTGCCTCAAAACTCCATTGAAAAAAGTTGTTTTGAGGCTGAAAAACCCTTTAATTGATTATCTCGACCTCGAGACATGAGGATGCGAAAAAAAAGAAAACAAAAAAGGATTTTAAAATCCAAAAAAGATACATCTTGTAATACATTATATGGCAATTCATTTTTAAGATTTTCATATGTTTGTAGATTTGCTAATTTATATCATTTTTTAAGTTTTAAATTTCATGATTAGATGTAAAGTAGATTTTTACGTTATTATTGAAATTTTTGACACCAAAATTACTTCTTTCGACAAGCTTTGGAGGTGCACCTTATTTGGATTATTTAAAGTTGACACCTTATATAAACTACAATATATATATATATATATATATATATATATATATAAAAGGATATTCTAAACTTCACAACCTTTCAAATTACAAAGGTTATAGATAGAGACAGCTTTGAAGGGTGGATTTATTAATTTTGTAGTCTATTTTTTAAAAAAATTACTTTTGTGGGGAAATTTTGTAAATATTACTACAAGAGGAACGATACTTTTGTCATCTCTATAAGGGATAAAATTGAAATTTTAACTAAAGGACAAAAGCACTCGACCAATAAAGTTTCAGGACACTAACTTCCAGAATGCTATTGTATTTTTGTGAAAATTTCAAATTTGTTTTTGCTTAATGGTAAAATTACCTATTTAAATACTTTTTTAATAAAAAAAATATGATTATTTTGACAAATACACCCATCACAATCCTTTCTAACTTGAACATTTATATTTTGAGGGGTTGTTAACTCTAGACAAACCTCTATATATATATATAACTCTTCCCAACGCTTATAAGCGAAAATGAATCTAATGACAAAACAATGTTTTATAATGAGTTTTGAGGTGCACCTTACATGTACAAATAAGGTTAACACCTTATAAAAAAATTTCCATTTTCAGAAGGGCAAGTACATACTGGGGAGTGAATTATACATCTACTCCCATGGTCAAAAGACCTATTTGGAAGGGTTTTTCTAATGTACTCCCTTGGTCACTAGATTGATTATTTTCAAAATAAGAGGTTGAACATTAATATTGACCGAACTAAATCAACACCAACTTTATTGTATTTCATTTTCTTTTGATACTCTCTCCATGATGAGGTATTTTGCCAATACTTTGCTGATCTATATGGATTATCATCGTGAGAATGGCAAAGAGATGGAGATTGATTGGCTCGACAAGTTGCCGGAATTCGAGGCTAAGGTGATTGATTTTGTCAGTTAAACCCCAAGACAGCTCCCACTGTCAATGGAGATGTCTTTAAATAACAAACCAATGGGATTACAACTCAAAAAACAACAATACCCAAAAACATAAATATGACAATCTTTTTGAGTTTTTTAACACTTAGATCTCACCCTTAAAAAATTGGAGCCTTTATTCAACCTCAAGATATTATGTTTCAAGTGCATGGAGAATGGAATTCAGAAAATTCTTTTATTGAGGTTGGTTTATGGATTGAAGAGGTTATATCTCCAAACTTTGGGTCCTAAAGTTACTCCTAGATTGAGTTTTACCTAAGGGAGTAAATAGACAATATACTTATGCGGGAGTGAAATTTTTTGGCATTTCAAAAAGCCCATAAAAATGCATGTTAGAGAGTTGAAAATGGGTAATATGTTAAATAGTCGATCTTGTAGGCATATTTTAATAAATTGCTCTGGCAAACTTTAATGAGCAAGTACACTATACTCTTGTGAGAGCATACTGTATATCTTCTCCCTCGGTCAAAAGACCTACTTGAGAGGGATTCTTCCAATCTTAAGTTTAGGAAACCACCTGAGAATAACTAGAAAATTATTCTAAAAATAATAATAAAAAAATTTGAGTTTTTGAATACTTATATCGCACACTCTAAAACTTGGATGGTCTCTATTCAATCTTGAGATGTTATTATTTTTCAATTGCATAGAGGGTGCAATTAAGAATATTTTAATTGAGATTAATCGATGGGTTGAAGAAGCTACGTCGTCAAAATTTGAGGTCTTTAAATTAATTCTAGATGGAAGTTTTACCCAAGGGAGTAAATGGATAGTATATGAAGACGGATATTTTAGCAACCGATTTATGCTTTTAAGAGGAAAAGCATACTAGGGTAGTGGATTATTGTTTTCATGTTAGATGTGAATATACTTTTAAGAGGAAAAGCATACTAGGGTAGGGGATTATTGTTTTCATGTTAGATGTGAATTTACATATCTTTTTATGCAGGGCGAGGTTTGTGTAAGGTGCCTACCTTACACCTTTAAATTTTGCCAAAAGATATTGCTCTATTGTAGGAAACCTTATAATGGCTTGAAATTCATATTCAACCTTAATTATGAATTTTCAAATTTCAAAAATAGTGTAGATCCAACGGATCTCTAAATATATAACTTGTTACAAGATACATTATGTTTTAGGGCTTGAAATTCTTTTTTTTCTTTTATATTTGTACATCTCGAGGTCGATATGATCAATTTGAAGGGTTTCTAACATCGGATCACTCTTTTCTATTGGATTTTTAAAGTACAATTAATTCTATAGTATAAGGTTACAACCTTATAAAAAAAATGTAAACTAAAAAATAAAGAAAATTACAACCTTATATAAACTTTTTCCTTTTATATACCTGCATGTTGTTTTAATAGCAAATGTAGCCATACATACCTATTTATATAAGGGAAATGCTAGCGCAGATAAGTGGGCATATATTTACATATTAGCCCAACGGTCCAAATTCAATATGGGCCGATCTAATGATCATAATTGCATTTCGTATTTGAATTTTTTTTCTATAATCTAACTCGCTTGAAATTTTGGGTATGTGTTATTAAAAAATAAAAAAATCCAATAAAAATATCAAAAAATATATTTCATGAGAAATAAATTAACTAAATACCCTCGAAACATTAAAGGGGTATTTTGATCAATTTATATATTGTGAATAATTTTTTTAATATTTTTATCAACTGCGCCTTGATGAGAAGAACACACGTTTAAAATTTCATGTGATTTGGATTTGTAAAAAAGATAATAATTAAAATTTCAATATAAAATTAGGTGGTGTGCGTCAGATCGGCCCAGATTCAATCTAATCTGTTGAACTCAGGCCCACTGACCTCCACTAGCATATCTCTTTATATAATTACCTAAAGCGTCGAGCTTATACTAAAAAATCATGATGCACATTAAAACCCCATTAGAAAAGATAGATTTACTGCTAAAAAAATAGTATTGCAAGATATATGGATAAAAAAAGAAAATGATTTCCAGTACCGAAAATAGTACAACTTATGACACATTATAATTATCCATTTTTAAGTTTTTTTTATTGTTTATAGATCTATTCAATCGCATTATTTATGGAACTTTAAATTTCGCAGTTAAGGTTGGAAATGGATCTTCAAACCGCCATATGGGTTTTCATCACTAAAAATGTATCTTCCCGGTAAGGGTTTTGGTGCGTCATAATTTGATTATCTAAGGTTGATACCTAATATAAATTGCATCTTCTTCTAAAATATGAGACACAATCTTTGAAAGATAAGAATGATGAGTCGAACTGGTTTTTCAAGTTGACTTGGAGGGTCAGCTCAGTCACAATATTAAAGAAAATAATACATATATATATATATATATATATAAACAAGGGATGAAAAAATGGCAAAAGCAAAAGAATAAAAGAATGAAAAGTCAACATCAAAATGAGAAAAGAATTTTCAAAATGTACTTTTAATTCAAACAAATATAGACTCTCAAATTGAATTAGAAAATACTCTCAACATGTAAAATAAGCAGATAAATAAATTTTCATCTCTTGATTCATCAAGAGAAAATAGATAAGAAAATGGCGGAAAAGTAGTAGTGAAAAAGAACAGAATTGATCTTAAAGATTTTTTTATTTTGATTTGAAAAATTGTGTTAAGGCTATTGCACATTAAAAAATTTGCGTTAAGACTATTGCAGATCTATGGTAAAAATGGAACAAATTCAACATAATTTAGTGAAACAATGAGAGAAAAATCAAAGATTTTTTATTTCAGATTCAAAAAACTCGCAAATTTAGACTCGAGTTTTTCTATTTCGGGTTTTGATCAGAAAAATGGTTGTACATAAAAGAGGGTTCAAAAACTGAAATTTTGAGGGATAAAGATTTGAAAATGATGGGTTAGAGTTCTCATGAACTACAAGGCCTTTTTTTTTCTTTTTCTTTAAAGAAATCAAGTGATTACGGTTCAGTCCCTCGCCGGCCCTGAGCTGCCTAGCATTTTCAATTCAGCCAGGTGATGTTTTAAAGATAAATTTGTAAGTTTTCCTCTTCTTTTTTAATTACATTTCCTTCAGGAATTGCTAAGAGAGAAACTAAATATATGAAAATATCATAGCTTTACCTTGTTGGGGAAATTATTTTGACTTCTTTATAATCTGTATACTCAGTTACAAGAAGTCTAGGGGTGGCAATGGACCCAGACCCGACCCTGGACCCAATGGCTAGACCCAACTTGGGTCCGAATAGGTCTAAAATTTGGACCTGATGGGTCAGGTCTAAGCCCCAAATCTTGGACCTAAATACCATTCGGATCTAGGTCCGGGTCGCACATTTTTTAATTTATGAAAATATATTAGAATATACATAAAGGGAAAAGTTTATATTAGGTTGTAACCTTAAAATGTAGAATCACAGATGCACCTCAAAAATCTATCGAAAATATTGTTTTAATGTTGAAAAAACCCTTTAATCGATCATCTCAACATTAAGATGTATGAATATGAAAAAAAAAATAATGGATCTTGCAGCACATTATCTTACAATTTAAAATTTTCTAATTAAGTATAAAAATAGATTTTAAGATAATACTAATAATTTTTTATAGCAAAATTACATGTTATGATAAATTTTTAAGGTGCGCCTTAATTGGATTGTTTAAGGTTGCATCCTTATAGAAACCACATCCATACTTAAATATATAGATATTTTAATTTTTGGGTCAGGTCCAATTGGGTCCGGGTTCGGGTCCGGATCTGGGTCCCATATTATATTTTTGGGTGTAGGTCTTGATCCCATAATACTTTTTCGGATCTAGCTGAACCCAACCCGTTGACACCCCTAAAGAAGTCAAGAACCAACCCTCACCAAAAACACATACTTGCACATCTACATAGAGGGGGGCTCTCTGTTTGTGTCGGTCTCTCAAAACGCGGAGAGAGAGAGTTTTCCTTTTTTGGCAGGAAGCTTGAATTTTGGCAAGTGTTTAATGCATCAATTCATCCAGCCTGTTCAAGTCTTTACTCTTCATTGCATCAATTCATCCAAGATTACAAGAACCAAATAATTGCAAGTACCAAATATGCATATTAAATTACAGATGCCAAGGCCAACCTCAAGAGAACCGAATGCAAAAACCAGAATCAGAAGTCGACACCTCAGCTCCGCCAAACCCCTCAAAATCGGAATCGTAATCCTTCCAATCATAATTGTACATGGATGAGTTCTCTTGGCCATTTACAGTAGATGGAAGCCTCAACTCATTCACAGGAACAGGCAGAGGCTCCTCTGCAAAGTACTTATCCTTGAGCAATTCCATGGTAGGAGCTCTCTTACTTGGGTCGTAACATATGAGCCTCTCAAGAAGTTGAATCTCACTGCTTGAACAGTTCGGAAGGCAAGATTTTAGGCCTAATGGATTTGGGTTTTCAGAAAAGAAGATCTTCCCATAATCTGGGAGGCTCAAACAACCAGGCCAAGCTTCTTGGTTGAGATTTCCAAGAACTCTAGAGATTCTATTAAGTTGGTCGATGTCTGAATTGCCTGCAAATAGAGGTTCTAGAGAGAATAACTCAGCAAATATACAACCCAAAGACCACAAATCAATTTCCTGACTATAAGACCTTGAACCATACAGAAGCTCGGGTGCCCTATACCAGCGGGTTCCAACACAAGAAGTGAGGCCAGACTCATCATCTTCCCTTTCTTCATCATCTTCGGAATAGGGGTTCCATGAGAAATCATCAGCAGGGTAGCTCAAATTGCAGGAAGTGGGTGAATCTGTGCTTCCGTTAAGCATTTTGGGACATTTGTCATTTCCATTCATATCCTTTTTAAGGTGATCTTGGTTTGTTGGAATATCTTCTTCACGGGCAGTCATGGGCTCTTGTTGTAAATTTGACTGGTTTAGACTCAAATTGGCGTCTTCAGGATTGGGGTCAGGATCTTTGGGTATCCATGGCTGGTCTTGGTCAGGGACATTGACTTCCTCTGACGCATATGGAGGCTCTTGGAGTATAATTGCCTGGCAAATTAAGAGCAAGAATGTTTCAATTACATGTCAAGAGCAAAGAATGACGATCACAGAAATATAGTTGATGTACAGAGTACTCTCAAAAAAAAGCTTCCAGTTTTTTGGGGTCCTTCGGGATATTACGGCTCTGGAAATTGAGTCGAAAAATACAATTTCCTTCTTGAAATATTGCACTTTTTCAAAATTAAACATCTCAGCCAAATACTTCAGAGAAAACCAATGAGAGAGGCCATGCCAAACAAAAGTACAAAACTAAAGGATGCAAAACCCATGGTGAAAGTTGATGCAGACATTACAGGAGAGGTACGAGAATTTGCAGTTTTAACAGAAGGATACTTGTGACAGCCATACAAACGAGATGAAAGGAAGAAACGTAGTGAGTCAAAAACCAGAAAGACAAGCTCATATGCATTACACAAGAGCTGGACATCCTAATGTGTAATGTGTGCATAAGAAGTGTTGGGTGGTGCTTTGGTGCACTATATTTTCATTGTCAGCCCCATAAGGATAATCAAAAATATGAGAAACCCCATAAGATAAGATTAAGATCTGCTAAAAATCTTGATGTGATCCCTCAAATATGAAAAACAAAGAATTTGACAAGCAATATGCTGTTTGGTTGTTGGATACCAAAGAACCCAATATTTGTGAACCCAACAATGCTAAATTTCAGTTGTTTGTATGACAAGCATCTATAATAGTCACATCCCATGAGCCTTATGTAAGAACCTTATACCCCATTTGTTGGTTTGATTTTTGTCCAATCGACCAAAAGCAGAAGAAGACACACACACACACATATATATATATATGGAAAAAGCTGGGATTAGCCCACTAGCTCATATGAACATATGAGCCCAACGGCTTAGATTGAATCTGGACTGATATGACGATCACGGATGTCCGGTAGTGTTTGAATTTTAATTTTTTTTTTCTACAAATCCAAATCACTTGAAATTTTAGGAGTGTGTTCATAAAAAATAGTTGAATCGTCGAAAAATGTCAAAAAAATATTTTGCATGAAATAAATTGACCAAAATACCTCCGAAAAGTTTTGGGGGTATTTTGGTCATTTTATTTTTTACGAATGATT